TACCCAACGCTTCGGTGCCTGACAACTGCACGCAGCAACGCGAGCCTTTAGCAAGCACCGACGGTTCAACGTCGCGACTTCTATGCACCTTTGGCATGCATTCACGATCAGTCTGCTTGGCGGTTGATCAGTCTGCTTGGAGGCTCAATGTCGCGGAAGCGGCGACATTGAGCCGTCGGCATTTGTGAAGGAATTGCGCCGCAGCGTTGCATATGCCTCAGCTTCGCAAACATTGGGACAAATGGTTTACGGCAACAAAGCGGCGTGCTGTATCTTGGTTAAGTAAGCGGCACGCAAGGGCATACGCTACAGTGCGAGTCAACGGAGCAAGCGCGGGCGGCCTAATCACAGCGCACTCGGTTCTTGCGTCGCGATTGTTGATTCAGAGCTCTGCCTACCCCTATGACATGTGCGAGGGTGTTCATGAACGGCTCCTCTTGAATGCACGCGGGTCAAATGAACCGAAATTAACAGCTAACAGCGCGATAAGAATCGGTAGCAACGGTAGTACTCACCCCAGGAACGACGCATGAAGCGGCGTGTTGTCCGTCGGCGCTCCCGTCGAACAACGCAAAATAAAGACAAATATTATATATATACAAGAAATAACGCGTGAAGAAGAGGATAGAAACAATCAGAAGCAATGAAAATACACTGGAATGGATAAAAATAGGTAATGGAATTGAAAAACAGAGGATTCAGAGGAGGCAAGCAACAAGGCAACGTGATCTCAAGGCAGAGCGGCCAGGCGAGGGACAGTCCCTACCACAATTCTTCGTGCGCGGGCCGGGGCGCTTGGGGGATTTCGCAAAAGGGCAATTGCGCCATATCACGGGACGGGGCAAAGCCTGCACTCGTCAGGCACTGCCATTGTTTCTGGTTGATGGCAGTGCGGCTTCCCTCATGTCGCCCATGTTTTTATTTATATTAGGGGTCTTGATAATCGTTTGTTATGCACCACAAATAAAATAAGGAGTCTGATTATTCATTGTGAACAGTTATAATAGATATAAAAAACGCGGGACATTGCAGTTGGTTTCTTTTTGGCTTCACCCCTTCAACTGGAAGCCAAATGGCCATGTAACACCATCTCAATTCAGTTTGGTCGTACCACAGTTAGTGGCCGCTAACTGCCGTTTGCCCAAACAAGGTTAAAACAGCCTGTGTCACTCAGGTATGGCACACATTCAAACACAGACACCACTACCTGCTGCCTAGAAGGTTACACTGGGTACCAGATATGGCTCCGATGCCTCTATTTGGCCAGCTAATCATCTTTGTCATTTTTTTTATTTTTCAGGTGGACAATGCACCTGTTTTGAAAGAAAGAATGACAAAGCGAAAGCTTCCAAAAGGCTCTAGTGACAATACGGAGCCTGCGAGCAGTGGAGTGACGGCTGAAGAGTATGCCAGAGTTGTACGAAAACTGCAAGCGAAAAAACAAAGGATCTGCCACCTGGAGCTCGAGCTCGACATAGAAAGAGGCATTTAACGGCGTCTCCAAGAACAACTACTGGATCTCTTAGGTAAGCTTTTAAACACATTTGGAAGAGAAGCTTCTGGGCACTGCTAATTTTGGTGATGCTGCTGCTGCTTAGGATGAGGCGTGCTTTTGCCATGTAGTGGCGTGCGATTGTCTCCCTGTTGACACAATGGTAGTGCTGGGTCAGACAAAATATTTTGCATTATGGGGAGGTTACCATATGTTCAGGTGTTTTAGGGGTCCAATGCTTGAGAGGTTTGTGCAGAGTTGGCAACCACGTGAAATGGCAAGATGGCAACAATGCAAAAACCCAATCACGGCCTTTTACTCTCTGGGGAAGAAAATGGAATGGCGTGAAGCCAGCGGAATGGCAAGCCAGTGAAGCGGCCAGGTTTGGCCAAGTAGGCTTTGCGCACGCATGTGAAAAAATGTGTGTGGGCTGGCCAACATTTACATTTGTATCATTTTGAAACAGGTAGCAGATGTAATGGGAAATTTTAAAATCAATTATTCAGTTGAATTGATCCTTTACTTCAAAGTAAGCTAGCAACAAAAATGTACCACTTTCTCAGCGCTGACTATCAACTCTGTGTTGCAAGTTGTCTTCTTTCTCTGTGTTGTTTACACATCTACCAAACTTTGTTCTTCTTTGTTGCTGTTGCACAAAAAATGTGCTCGTAAAGAGAGGAGCAAAACAAGGCGACCAGCTGCATAGAATGAATTACTTCGACTAACACATTTTTCACCTATTTTCACAATTGTTTCAATTTCTCGTGTGAACTGGTAAAAGTGCTTGCCTATTACAATACATTTCTTTTAAGTCTGCTGAGCGTCTGCAGCCCTGCCAATGTATGCCTAGATACTCCTTTCACCACCTCCTCACGCGACAAACTATTGAAGCGGACACAATTGGGGTTGAAGCTAGATGAACAATGTGTTAGCAACCTTTCTATAACATACTGTATTTACTCGAAAAATGAACACACTGCCCCCCCCCCCCCAAAAAAAAAAAAAGATATCTGGGTTTATCACGCGGGGTAAAATTTTTGCTTTTACAAACTTTGTGAGAATGTCTTCTTAGATGCCAATATAACACGGAAGGGTACTGTGGCACGTCTCCACTGATGGATGCACACCCACGACTGGTTGTGGGCGTGCAACAGTAATCATGCTCTATAAATTGCAATCCATTTTAGGGCGTTTTCGGCGTGCCTTTTGCCGAAAGAAAAGTACCCTACGAAGCTCACGCCGCACTGAGAGCGACGCGATTGTTCTTACCTAACCACTTGCATGATTTCACTGTCCGAAAGCGGACCGCAGACGAACACGAGTTAGTTGACATCAATGCATCCGGTGGGTGAAACATGTCCGAAGCTGGGCGATTCCTCGACCCCAGTTTTATTGGGTGTGCTCGCTACTCAGTTTCACTGTTCATCACTTCCGTTACTATGCACTTGCAGCCATGAGAGCGTATATTGCTATGCTTGGCTTAGTTTGGCCTGGCCACTTGGCGGTGAAAGAAAATTGGCTTGGTGGGCTTGGTGGCTAGCTGAGTTGGGCGCAGTTTGAGACTCACAGAGTGGAAAATTGGAGGTGTGTTTATTATGCGAGGGGGGGGGGGGGGAGTGTAATCTAAGAAAGAGTTGTACTTGGCAAAAAATAAAAAAAGAAAGTTTGGTCGATGTGTACACAACATAGAGGAAGAAGACGAAATTCAACACAATGCTGATAGCACCGAGTGATTGGTACATTTTTGTTGTGTGCCTGCATGTGTGTGTCTTGAGTGGAACATACTTGTGTGTGTTGTAAATTAAAATAGTTTTCTAAGATTGCAGAAATTGTTTTCTAGTGAGAAACAAACCACTGGCTGGGTTTTAGGATTTAATAATATTTGGTTTACTAAACAAAGTTGTATTACTGTTATGAGGTGGCAAAATTGGGCTAGTCTACTACCAGCCCAGTTGGTAGCACACAAAATGGCCAGTCTCAGCTGAGACTGGGTGAGAGTCAGAGTATTGCCAAGGCTAGTTCATCAGTGAAGTGGAACTCTACTTTGAAACTCAAGCACTCATCCTCTCCACTTTTCATTGGCTTTTTTTCACCTAGTTTCAGCTGGGACACCAGTTGTAGTAACAGGGTGTTTAGCAACCGGGAATTGTCAGGGAAAATCAGGGATATTGTCAAAAAGTGAGCCCAGTCAGGGAAAATGAGCCGGAGATGCCATCGAGTGCCCTCAGGAAAGACTTGAGAATTTAGGGGCTGAAAAATTGCCAATAAATTTTGCTTAGAGTGGAGTGCGGGCTCTGCTCACTCAATGTAGCGTGTGCTACCCGATGCAAAGGGAACAGCCGATAAATCTAGTCCAAGCCTTGGATTGGATTGGATTGAGGCACCACACTAGGCTAGATCCAGTTAGAGCTACTAGAATTAGCAACAAATGGAAAAGCCGTAGACTCTAATCTGGTATCCTACATCCAAGCCTTAAGCTGAAAATATCCGAAGGTGTGCTTCTGGCGGCTATACTGCCATTTGGTTATTGACGTGTGTGGCTGGGCGTCGTGTTTTCATAGTGTTTCTGGAAGTGGCCTTTTTACTGACGATGTCGGTGGCAAGGAAGTGCTGGTTTAATCCGAACTGGACGAACCCGAACCTTTCGGAATATGCAAGTTGGATGAAGCCCTTGAAAAATGATCCTCACAGTGTTCAGTGCCTTGTGTTGTAATGGTCTTATATATTTAACCGCCTCTACAGTGGTCAGGGAATTTCACCTGAAATCGTCAGGGAATTTCAAAATGATAATTTGCTAGACACCCTGGGTAAGCCTACCTGATGTCCCGAGAAAATAATAAATGCGTGGAGAGTGCACATTACTTCTGAGGCTTAATGTGCTTTTGAGACATCAATATAATGCCCACAAACTCCTTGAGTGAATAAATTTCTTAACATGTCCCCCCTAAAAATGGTAAGTTTAAGCTATTATGCTGCAGAGGACGTCTCTAGATGCATTTAAACAAGGTTATATCAGCTTTTGCGTGCCATCTACCGGAAAACAAGCTTGCACATGTTTACTTTAGTTGCGTACGCTCAGTCTGCTAGAAACATGTTTCGCATGGGGTGGGGAACAGGTTGGTTCTCCTGGGTGCTATTTGAGCTGCTGACAATTAGTGCATTGTATACAATTTCAGAGAAGAATCAAGGAGGTGGAGTGGACACACAAACTGGGCCAACTGCCGTTGCCCCAGCTGCAGCAGTTGTCCCCACAGCTGGACAAGCTGCTGCAGCACGACTGCCGGCCGCAGTGCTGCCACCTGCACGACTGCCGGGTGCAGTGCTATTGCCTGGTGTACCAGCACAACTACCTGCCGCAGTGCTGCCACCTGCTGCGGCACCGCCTGCTGTAGCCCCGCCAGCTGCTGCGGCACCGCCTGCTGTAGCATCGCCAGCTGCTGCGACACTGCCACAGCCTGCTGCAGCTGCTGGGGCTCCAGCAACTCTGCCAGCTGCCGTGGCTCCAGGAATGGGGCTTGTTCACGGCCCACCAGAAGCCCCTTCCCCTTCCCATGGATTCTTGGGCCTCTTCGCAGAGGTAGATGATGAGGTAAGTGTTGAAGCAGTTATGCCGCCTGTAGGTGCAAACCATGATGCGTAGCGCAAGTTTGTCTGCTTCTTTTAATAAACAAATATTTATTGTCCCTTTTCAACACAGACCAGCCCACGAAAGCATGGGTATGCTTGTTACGCCACAATCCCTGCAAAGTATGGGTATGCTTTGCAGGGGTTGTGGTGACATCAGAATGCCAAGCTCCGATTGGCTCTGATCTGAAGGATAGTGGGTAGACCTCAAGGCAGCTGCTTTGATGTCTACCCACTATCCATTAATCAGAGCTCGGCGTTTTGACGTCACCATAACCCTCGTAAAAGAAGCAGACAAACTTGCGCTCCACAATAAAGGAAGCGGGGTAGAAGTGCTGCGCCATGGTGCGCCAATCCACTTTAGCTGTGCCAACCTGCTCCCAAGCGCACATGTTGCGCCAAAACAGACCAAAACAAATTTTTTCTTGTTAAAGTTGTTGGAGTTCTTTTTTTTATTGGCCACAGTAGTTTATCGTGTTATGTTTGTTTAGGTGATTCTGAACCAATAGGGACTTTTAGCAAATCGATACCGTGACCGTGAGGCAAGCGCTTGAAAGCATGCTTCAAAGGCTCTGGTAATGCGGAACACGATGAAGGTTTGCTAAAAGTCCCTATTGTTATGAAACCACCATACCAATGTTGTTGTGTCAGCGGAGTGTAGGTCTGATCTCCGAAAATGCAACATGCGTAGGTCGCTTTGTCAGAGTACTCATCGGTACTCTGACAGTCAACGAAACGACACCTCGAAGCATCGTTTCGTCGTCATTCCTTACTTTTCTTCTTCCTTTCTTTGCTTTTTCTTTTTTCACAGTGGCGTTGAGCATGGTTGCGTGTATTCGAAATACCACACACACGCATTAAATTGCATATACCGTAAAGTCTCGTACAAACGCCCAACCCCGAGAAATCACATATCTCGTTTTTTTAATCAACTCTACTGCGTGATCTGCGGTATCGGTGCGCGATAAACGTGCCCGCCGCGGGTTCTCTTGTGCTTATCGTATTGTGACATGCGACTCTACAGTATCCTCAATATGTGGGGTATCTTTTTCCATGACATGCATATTCCTAATTCGTTCCCGCATTTTTTTTGCCTGCGATTTTTGTGTGCGATATTGGTTACTGTGACATTTGAGTTTCTAGTGGCCGAGTTCTTGTATGTATATCGCACCGTGAAGCGCGAATGCGTTGCATCTGCATTCGGCTGTGGTACCCGTGGTAGGGAAGTTTATAGCAAATTCCCACATACTTTCGCAGGCGCGAGTTCGCCATGTCTGCTATATGTATCAGTAATGCAGAGACAGTGGGTGCGTAGGCGAGCTGGTGATAGTTAATCATGATGTTTATTTGGGTCGGCGTTTTTACAGGGCCTCATCATGGTATATAAACATACATAAGGGCCTGCTGGCATGTGTTCACCTATCATCTAATTTCTGGCGAAAGCGACAAGTACTATACAAAAATTGAACAAACATTTGGCATAATATTTTCTTTTCTTTTTTGCATGTTTGGGGTGTGTGCTTTTGCTGTGACCGCTTCCATGCTTCTCATTCGTGTCGCAAACGTAACATATAGAAACAATAATTGATTGACTCGATGGTCTGTAGATTTTTTGTTATAAATGATATTTGTGGCGAATACAGTCGCTGGCACGGAAACAGCAAGCTGGTGAGAGGACGAGAAGGTGGGAACATCCCGTTGAGCGAAGCAAATTCTAAACCGTTGTGCTAGAATGCATCCAAGCAATTGACTTGTGAGGAAAACCTTCCATTTTATGGTCTTACTTGCCACTTTTGGTGGTCACTTTTTCTTTATAAAACTCATAAGCAAGTGGTTTTTTTTAAGTCTGTTATTTTTTTTCTAGTGAGGTTACAGTAAGCATTTCTGTATGAGCAAGGGTGGTATCGGTGGCATCGTGAAGGTTTCAAAATTTTGCATTTATACTTTTATCAGATAGAGCAGATTGGTACTCTGTTTAGTATTGGAATACTAAACAGAGTACCAAATTGAGTTCCAAAGGAGTAAAAATTGGAGTATTGGACTGAGAAAATTTGTATTTTCTAATAACAAATAGTGTAGTCAATATTGGACTTTCTTCATCTTGAAATGGTTTTGTTTTCAACTTATTTTACATGCAATTTAGGTTGTTAATTATGCACACTGTTTTGTTTTCATGAGGTTTAAGTTGTGCTTCTTTTGTTGACTATGCCTTCTATTGGAAATCCGTGAGAGGAACTAGCCTGGCTACCAGGACAGTTCTCAATAGCTGCTCAATAGTTAAATTAAGATCTCTCTTTGGCAAGATTTGTTAGGAATTCAATCATTAAAAGTTGGCAAACTAAAATTAAACTTTACCAGGATGGATTTGTGGTAGATTACTTCAGAAATATAAATGTGCCTGCCGGGCTCTTATGCCGTCCGCTACCAAGAAGGCAGACAGGGTCTGTCATTGACTAGGTATTTGTAATATCAATTCAGCACCTAAATATGTGCAACAGTGAAGGGGTAGATCTTCAATCCTGTTTATTCAGCATTCAATAAATGCGAGGCCCGCTCAAGTTACTGCATTTTATTTATATATTTGTGGATTATGCAAATTGGCAGACCTACGTTCTGCAATCCCAGTGAGTCATGTGAGACAGAAGAACAGGAAAGGACAGAGGGGACGAGCTCAGAGAACTGATGTATGTATGAGCCAATGTAGAGTATTTTTCTGAGTAATATACTGCAGTTGGTAGTCAACATAACACTCATCCTGCATTACCCCTTGCTCTTCTGTCTCGCATGTCACACTGTTTTTGCTATTAGTACTGTATTAGGATATTGTGAAGCATATAAAAAAAGCTGTGCAAGCTAGGAAAAAGAAATGTTGTGGGTGTTTGCGCTTGCTGAATAAGGAACTTCCACATGTTCTGACAATGGCAGTAGTGACAGATCTTTCAACACATTACTGAAGCTATCATAGTCCCTGCAGTCCACGGCACATTTTCATGAGTTAGGGAGCCACCAGCTGTTGCAGCATGTATCGAAAGCCATGTGCTCTGCCGTTTGAATTTTATTTGGACCCAATAGTACGGAGCGTTAAATTGGGCATATTAAACACGGCCAGCTTGCATTATGTTTGCTGCAATTGCAACATTGGAGCAGCTCCATGCATTTTATTAGCCCATTACCAGCAAGAGTATGTTTGTATTGTGGCCATTATAACTGCTTGTGTAGAATAACACATTGTTATTCGTACTTTCAGACCCACCTTGGTCACGGGATCATGGTCGCCACAAGCAAACTGAAGTACATCTTGGGTGCCCGGGGGGACTCGATGTTTTGCAAAGAAGCAACGAAGGTTGTTTTTGGCGCTGCAAACCTGCAGCGCCGAAGTGTGACTGGACAGGCATGTAGGCGGCTCAAGGGGTCAGTTGCGAAGCGAGCGCTGACCCCGAATAAGCTGGCGGCCGTGGGCAGTAAGTGCTTTTCCTCTACTCCCAACACACCAAACTCTGCCACTTATTTGCAGGCATTTCTATGACATGGCTCATGGTTGACCACTGCTAAAACTTGGTCTCAATAGTTATTTTATGAACATCAAACTTTCATTAGTTTTCATCGAAAAAACTAGAATTGCTCATCTCAACTGATAATTTTCCTAGGATATACCGTATTCGTCGGAGAAATCTATTGGGCTTGAAATGCACGGAACAAGTTGTTTTTTGACACACCATGCTACAATTTACTACAGAGGTGCCCTTAGATCCTTTATTTATTACTTGAAAGTAGGAACTCATGAGGGAATCCCTGCTAATTCTTTTTACTCGTAATCATTAAATTGTTTTCCAGGCACTTGTAGTGCTTATTCCGAGTGAAAGACGTATGAAATGGAATTAAAATTAGATTGAATATTAGAGTCTTTGACTGATTTTTTGGACTTCGCAGGGACTGAAAAAACGTCCGAATAAAAGAGCAGTCTGAAAAATCAGCAGATTAAAAAACTTTTCTTTATTACGTCTAAGCGGGCCTATAAAAGCTGTAAATAGTTCCTTGCTTCAGGTTACGCCTTCACGCCCTGTTTTAGGTTTCGCCTCCGTTTGCGTTCGAGAACTTTCTGTTAGTTTGAGAATCGCTGCCTTCTTTTCTAGCGTTATGGTCGAGTACTTTCTGCGCTTCTTATGCCCGTGTCCCACTGGAGCGACAAACCGAAACAAATGACAGCGACAAGCCTCAAACCAGTCTTTCACGATTTGAGATGCTTTGTGTAATAAAGGAGGCTATGCTCAAACACTAGCATCACGCACGCGAGCGTAACTTTGGCGGGCTTCCAACCGCTAGTGCTTACTTCACGAGCATCGAACGACTAAACGCCTGCCAAAGGTACCATCGCGAGCATGCTGCATGGGTTTGAGGCTTGTCGCTGTCTTTTGTTTCTGTCTGTCGCTCTAGTGGGACATAGGAATCAGCGACACATGGCGGCAACGGAGGAACAGATGGGGCCATGATGTCCAAGCCAGCGTAGTTCGAAAACACAATTCACCGAGACAAGATCGAGATGGGAGGCGCAAGTCCATGACTGCAATGACGAATGAACAGAGCAAAATGGAAACAATAATGATGATGATAGTGACGTGCAGCTGAAGAGAAAAAAGCCGTACAGCGTCACCTAGCAGTAGGACTTAGCAGTATTTACGTAGCGCTGCCAAACCAAGCCAATCCATGTGCAGCCAACATAGAATCCAAAATGGCTGCTTCTCGGTGGTGTTTCCCACTGATCGCTCGCGACAATTTTCTCAGAGAAATCAAACTTTCAAGCTGTCTGAAACATTGGTTGTGCATATGCACTTTTATATCGGGTAGGTCACGATTTGTTTGCTGTGCCACCTATAACCCCCCCCCCCAAAAAAAAAAAAAAGAATCACAACTAGTATATTAATTGTTACGTTTTCCTGAAACATACATCTTTTTAGCAGTGTTTCCTCCAAAAGAATTTGCTTGGTTCTGCAGTAGTTCAAACACTTAACATGTCGTAACTGTTGGGTCGGTTGAACCTGGTACATGTAACTGATTGCCTTGTCATACCCATTTTCAGATGCCTTCCAGCTGTACATCACGCAGACATCCTCGGATAAGTCACCGAAGAAGAGGAGGGTTCTCATGAACAAATACATCGGCGAGCAACTGCAGGATATTAATAGAAAACTTGAGTTCTGAGGAACCTTCGATCTAGGGTATCTAAAGTATTCAATATATATATGTCAACTCACCTGCTTTAGAGTCATTCTTTCTAGAGTGCTTTTTTTGCATGCTGGGGGCCTCGAGCAACACTGCCTAGATAATAAGTGTCTGCATCACCTCCTCTTCCTTAATGAAATGTCATCAAAGTCGGATTACGCTGACACGATGACTGGGCCCGAGTCCCACCCTCGACGCGCTGATTGAACACAAGTGTAACCCAAACACTGTCACAGCACTCATACCCAATCTCGCTGTGAGGATGGTATGAAAGTGGTCTGGGGGACTTGCCTATCTAGGTGGTACTGTCTCGGGATGCTAACCTTTTGTGAACAGGAATTGCATGGCACCCATATCTGCTGGTTTACGTAGGTCGACCTGTGTCTATAGTCGGGTTGACCTGTGTCTACAGTCAGGTCGACCCGTGTCGTAGGTCGGGTTGACCCGTGTCTACAGTCGGGTCAACCCATGTCTACAGTCAGGTCGACCAGTGTCTACGGTCAGGTCAACCCGTGTCTACGGTGGGGTCGACCCGCGTCTACGGTCGGGTCTACCCGCGTCTACGGTCGGGTCGACCCGTGTCTACGGTCGGGTCAACCCAACCACAGACAGCATGGTTCAGTCGGGTCGACCCGACCCGACTGAATACGGGACCTGTATGTCCATAACACCATATGACCCAAACGGGTAGGACCCGTACTAAAAGTATACGGTTTTTTTCAGTAGGGTAAGAATTCACTTTAGTACCCCTTTAATCTGTGTTGGCGCTGGCTGTAAGTAACACTATTCAAAATGGTTATTAAGAAAATTCGCCAATTCTATTTGTTCCATGCATATGATTTAAAACGCCATTTTGAATATATTGGGAAATTGGACGAAGGGGGTTGTCAAGACGCACAGAACATCGTGGAATGGATGTCGAGAGTATCAAACTGCCCTTTATATGATGTATAAGCATGTCGATGCACAGTGTAAAATTTGAATAGTTCAGTGGAAAAATTGAACGCCTGGCGGTCCGATTTGTAATGAGGGTCTATCATGCGAACAAGGCTACAAATCGTTATTCGCACCTCAGACCAGGTACAAGACTGACACGCCGCTCTAGAAAGCCCAGCACAGCGTAAGAAGACTAGTTCACAAACACACGCCCCGTTGGGGCCTGGGACCTTGCTAGTTTGCAGAAAACTCATTCCACCAAAACACAAAACTAATCTCTATCTTTTTCTTTTTAAAGCATGTAGAATGTCGCGTTCTGCTTAAGGTTGCACGGCAATGACGCAAAAAAGAGAAACTTGGAGGACGCTTAAGCTTCGCTTTTAAGAGTGGAACGCGATTGCGTAATCGGGCCCCGTTCGCATCGCCTTCTCATTCGCTTCTCACGCTCTTGAGTCACACAACGACCTAGTTCTCATGACACAACACTCTTCGTTCCCAAGCCGTGCAAGCTGCCTTACGTGGCGTAATGAATAGCGTGCTGGCGCGCAACCGAAAGGACGTGGGTCCAAATCCCGCCTAAAATTCTTCAAATTTTTCTTCGTAGAAAATGAATTACTTCATAAAGTGAAATCCTTTGAGACATGCGGCGATTTTTAATTCGCATTACGTGTAATTTTTTTATCACTTTCATTCCACGCGTGACGTCACTTTTTACGTGAGCGTTGTGGGTTGTTTGAAATTTCCGCGCGAGGTCATGTGGCTGTGACGTCATCACCCTGTCGACCAATCCCGGACTTTCGCGTCACGCCACCGACGTCAGCTTTTCTGCGACACGAGCTCATTAACGCCATCGCGTTAAAACACACTGGGAGCTGATTCTATTCACATGAAGACGCGCCGAAACACAAGGCATTATTCCACGGTAAGGAAGTGTTCTTTTAAGCCGTCGCAGCCATTTTGCAATAAAGCAAAACAAACTGAGTAAGGGCATACATGTATCATATCCCCCCGCGGTGGTGCCGGGTATCAGTTTGTTCACTCCGCTGGTTGCGTGATAGGAAAACAACACCCAGTCGTCAGTTGACTGTGAGCGCGCATAAATGTCTATGACATTTTACCTACACTCGGATTCACCCCTAAGCTGACAATGCGATGTAAACTATATGCTCATCGGACGAATCAATCGACTGCCTGTTATCGCTTCACCCAGAGTGTGATCACGTGTGGCAAGAATGACAGGTGACTGGTCCAGCAAGTACGTAGCTTCCACCACACTGTCAGCTTAGGAGTGTTGGCGAGGAAAAACCAATAAATGTGCCTTGAAACATCAGCGCCGGCTTGCTCGAACCAGCGTCTGAGATGAGACCGTTTGAAGGAAAGAAAGCCTGCCAAACATGGGGCGCGTGAGCATTTGAGACGCGACTTCACGCGCCACTCCGCTCATGCGCTAGCTTTGGCAGTGCTTTCTTTCAGACAGTCTCGTCTCAGACAATGATTCGAGCTAGGGTGCCTTAGTTCGAGCAAGCTGGCCCTGTTTTAAGGAACCTTATTCTTTTGCGTTTACATGCCAAACCAACGCAGAGCGTCTATCCTTCGTTTCACCTTCAGTCCGAGCGCAGCGGACGCTACGAGCCATCCCAGCCAATCCAGCGCCGGGAAAGTATCACGTGACCTTGTGGTTGGGCGGAGCGACACACGGAGCTTGAGATCACGCGATACTGCCCCGGCGCTGGATTGGCAGGGACGGCGCGTAGCATCCACTGCGCTCGGACTGAAGGTGAAACTAAGTATAGCACACCCCACCGAAGGATTGATGATTTATTCAGAAAACCTAGGGGTATTTTGACGTGCAACCAAATTTGTCGTGGAGACAAGATCGAACAGCCACGCTGCTTCAGGCGTGGGGGCAACAAACAAAAATTGCTTGATTATTATTGGTTCGAGAAGCCGAAGGCGATTATTCACGATGCGCGAAGCGTAGGAAATAAATTTGTGTCCAAGTTCTTGCGTGACCAAAATAGGAGTTGGAGCGACGAGCTCGAGCCCACACAGTGGAATGTGGTTTTAGTTTTTTTGTTGTGTGTACCGCAACCATTGTTCTTATCCTGCGTAAAATTGAAAAGGACAATCGTGGTGACGCAAAAGTCGCCATGGAAAACGAGGACGTCTCTACAAGCAAGCCGATCTCCACGAACCAAGGCAAAGACCAGACAAAGGAGCGCCAATACAGTAGCGAGGATCACATAAAGAAGCTTCATCAAGTCAGAGATGACACTGACGTCCCTTAAACCGACGCGGACACAAACGAGCCTGAACGTGCATCCCTTGAGAGTCGGGACCATCCTACCCGCGGTCAAACGAGGAGAGGGGAAACACACAAGGCGAGCATCCCGAAGACGGCAAAGCGGCTGGCCATATTACAGGTGGCCAGGGAAGCCACAAACAGTCACCAGCGACCCAAATCACTCATGTGCACCGATTCGCCAGAAGCCTTCAGAAAATGCACACTTTTCTATTGGCAGGGCGGCGTCACACTTCAAATTCGGAGCTTCGTGAAATAACCGAGTCGTCATAGACTGGATCTCGAGTGATGAAGGCAATCCGGGAAACAAAAGGTTGAAGAACACCGCGATTGCGCAGCAGTACGGATGTACCCACTCACTCGCGGCTCCTTGAACCGCAAAAAGATAGGCCCGGCATGGAGCGGTCTCAGACGAGGCATAGAGAGATGATCTGTTAGCCTGCAAACTCAGGCTAATCTCCCTCCTCCCACCAGATGCTCACCCAATTTCACCGGGCTAGAGCCGGTGGGAACAGGTGATTCTCAGGCGCCATCAGACCAAGACGGCTATCACCCATAATCACTCCTTTCTGGCAGACAAGGTTTTGCAGACCTACGGACCCAGACGACCTATGAATCGCCCCCAACATTGAACACTGTAGGGCCCTGGCGATATGTTCGCACTTCGTAAGGGACTGGGCCGGGGTCTCGCGATATCGCGAAGCATGGCATAAGCTCTCCCGAAGAGGAAACGAGGCCCACATCATACGAAGGATGGGCCCTCCCGAATATGGGAAACTCTCATAGAAAACACATAGTGGAATCTATTAGAGTTTCTCCGTCTATGAGGGCTGGCGAAGCATATGTGGCTACCTTTTTCCATCCCCCTTCCTTCCCTTTCACCCCAGATGGCGTTAACCAAGAAAAGATGACATGAATCGTTTTCTGAGGAGCGATACATACATATTGTACTATTACTCCCAAGCAGCACAATTCACCGGCTCAAGCTTGAGCCTGCTTGGGCAGCCGGGGAAAGTTTCCCTGGCCCAAGCACCGTTTTGCTCCAAGGGGCAAGCTAGCCCCAGCCTGGCTAGCCGGCCCGGCAGTTCAGTGGGGGTTCCTTGTACAGCCAAGCTTGGCTAAACGGTGTAAAACAAGCCTGGGCCAGGCTGGCAGTTCAGTGGTCAGCCAAGCTTGGCAAAACGGTCTAAATGCATCCTGGGCCACACTGGCAGTTCAGTGGTCAGTCAAGCTTGGCAAAACGGTGTAAATGCAGTGTGGGCCAGGGTGGGAGTTCTCTGGTCATTCAATCTTGGCTATACGGGGAATTTACAGACTTCTCCCAAGGAAGTCTATGTTGTCATTCAAAGGATGTTTTTTGTAGCATATGATATAGTCAAACATCTCCAATTTTTGGTGCTGTGTGCAGAAAAAAACTGGTTGCTACCTTGTTCCGGATTTAGTGACCCACGATTAATGGAGCTGCTAAAGTAATTTTCTCAGAATACTTAAACAATAAAATGAAAGTTGAAAACATGCGCGAGCTGCTGTATTTATTGTGCGGTTGGCATGCAAATGAAGCTGCAAAATCAAGTCAAGTTTGATACAGTGGTTTTTTATTTCATGTTCAGTACATGGTGCTAGCTTATGCCCGAGTTCCACTACAGCGACAAACAGAAACAAATGACGACAAGTCTCAAACCTGAGTCTTTCCCGATTTGACAGGCTTTGTAGAATAAAGGAGGCTATGGTTAAACACAAG